TTAATAATATCTCCCAATTATACAGATGATTGCTTTGTCCATGGCCAAACTGGGACTGAAATATTAGGCCTTTGACTCAGTCATTTGTGTTCCCCAGACCCAGAAGCCAGAACTCAGAAGCCAAGACAAAGCAGGGATGAGACAGGCAGGTACAAGGCAAGGCCGAGTGGGGGAACCCAGGTGGTTGCATGTAAAATGGCCCGTGGAACCCCCTGTTGTATTCACTAAGGGCAATGAAAACCTTGGTGCCTTTGAGAATGTCAGCTCATCTAAGAGAATTTTCTTTGAGACAGAAGGCGATCTAATTTTAATCTATGCGAATTGAATTGGTTCAGGGATCAAGCTACTCTGAGGATAGTCCCATCTTTGGCAAGTACGTGATCAGAAATTCAGATGTTACCCGGGCAACTGTCCAACTGTTTTGAAATTCAGATTAAGAATTTACTGCTGAATCATATGGACCACTGACATCCTCGCACTTGCAAGGACAAGGTCCTTCACCTAGTCTGAATTTCCCAACATCCTGGAAACATGAGCTGCTTGCTCAGTGAGGTCATTTTGTACTGTGGGCATGTGACTGTCTATCTGAGTATCTGGCTCAAACCACTAATAATCATGCAGCCTTCTGGCACTATATAGGGAAACCACAGACCAAATCCAATGTGAGGCAAAAGCCTGAAAGCTTATTTCCCCCTGGAATCATGGGACTCCTTTAAAATAAGAATCCAGCTGTTGGTCACATCTTGATTTGGTTTATGAGCAACTTGTGCACACTGGGGAGGCCAAGAGTAATGGCATTTGGGCTATATGCCAGGTGAGCAGGGACCAAAAATACCCAATATGCCAAGCCCCATGGCAATAAACAGGCACACTCACTTCAGCCCTGACATCAGGAACAAGACAACACGAGAAAGGCCTAGGCTGCTGGCCTGTTAATGTGAGCTGACAGCGACTATTTCAAGAAGGTCCTACCTTCAGGCTGTACTGAACTTGACTGACTTAAAGGTTCTTAGGATGGAGGTGATATGAACTAGCAATAGCCTCCTGGAGAGAAGATTCATAAGCCCACTTTCTCCTAACCTGGAAACCTAGAAGCTTTTCTGAATGTAACATAAATTAGACTTGAACATCTTGAGGACCCACTAATAATAATGCCATTTGAAATCAATTTTTTAATTAAAGTGATTGAATTGTTTGTGGTTTCTATATTGGAATTTTGATCTCTGAATCATGAAACACTTTTCATCATGGTATTTTAACAGCACCATGGTGGCCTAACTATCCTTTAATAAGAGAAAATTGAGCAGCAATCATTCAAAGGGGATGTCACAAGCAATTCCAAGGCAGAGCTCAGCCTAGAACCGGAAATTTCTAACTACATTTTGATCTCAATCCTTTTGTCTTATTCGATTTCTTTTTTTTTTAAGGATCCTAGCTAAGCAAAGTTTTAATACACGAGGGAAGAAAAAAGCTTGCTCTCATTATTTATACTTTGATTCAATTTCCCACAAAGTTAGATAAACTGCAAAAGGCCACTGTCTTCACATTCTCCACACAACACATGCTACTGCTGTATAGACTATCGTCACGAAGATTCTGCATAGTCCTGGGTGCACTCCTTATAATACAATTTTCTCTTCATTTATAGTCTTAGTATTGTCTCTCATTAATTAGGCCACTGAACAGGAATGTATTTTTTTTTTAAGTAGGTTTTTCCTTAAAGACCCATTCATACTTAAAGTAGGTTTTTCCTTAAAGACCCAAGAGCAACAAAACATCCAGGTGTCATTTTTTAAAGTTTATATAGGTTTATGGAAAATTATCCAAATATGGAAGTTGGCATTGGGTCAAATATATCTGTGATTTCTCCTGTATTATTCCTAACTGTTGTCTCTTATAACTGGCTGCCACTATTCCTGAGTAAAACAAAACCCAGAGGCATGGGGCAGAAAGCAAGGGGGTAAGGCAGGGGAACCTTGGGAGGAACAGTAGGGGATGGACATGGCACCCTACTGAAGTCCTCAGGACACGCTGAAAGGAAATAGATGGCTCAGGCTAGTGAGAGCCAAAGAAGCCTGAAGGCAAAACTGTTTAATCTGGAACATTCACATCCCTTTTCCAGGTGCACAGCTGACTCTCCTGGGGAACTGTTCGTAATTCTCACCACTCACCACTCAAGAGGGCACTGAGCAGCACTCTCCTGCTGGGGAGGGTCTTGACCCTCGTCTCCGGCCCTGCACTTCCTGAGGCTGGACCAGCTACACACAGTCTCTACAGCCCAGGGCCCGCTCTCACTACTTCCAGTCCTGCTTGCAATTCACGTATTTTCAAAAGGAAAAAGACATGTTTAGCAATCTCTGAGTGTGAACCCCACTTCTGGAGAGCATGCTCTTACCCAGACATCCAGATACTCTCCTCAAGATTTTTCCTCACTTCTGACTCTTCCAACCAAACACTAGTGTTTCTCTCAAACTTCTTTCTGAATTCAGGAAAAAGCTTTGATAATACCAAGACAGCATGGTGACAGGCACTTTAAAATGTTTTGTTAGCAACTAAATTGCCACAGTGTACCCCAGATGATTATAAAAATTTTTAAAAATGCATCAAGTTTAATCATATCTAATTTATAGCCCTAGGCTCAAGGGCGCTGGAAATCCAGAATATCAGCTATGCCTCAAAGTAGCTCTAATGACTGGGACACATGTCTCGGCACCTCGGCCTCTTCATCTAAAAGTGAGGTTTCAACCGATAATTCCGTAGTTTTCTTCTAGCTCCAAAGTACTCAAATCCTCTGACTCTAAGAGTAACCTTCAGAGAGAGGAGAGCTAGTTCACTCCCTTCTGATATTATCAAGCCATTCCTGATGTATGCTCCATCGTACCTCAAAAGAAATCCTTTTGTAATGATTTAATTATTGTAACTTTCTGAGACAACAACACTGAGTAAATTTCAGTTCATTTAGAAGCTACATCAGTGTAGAATGGCTTCTTGAGGGTTAGGAGGGGAATGTCTTTGTTTTTCTTGCCAATATTTCCAAAGCCGCTAGTTGGACAACTACTGTGATTTCTCACTATGTTAGGCCGGAATGATTTCCTACTTGCATGAGACAACTCTGGCTTCTGGACCTCTGAAGGTGTTTAGGATTTTAGGATTATGAAGGATAATGAAGGAATGAGATCCATCCCAGCCCCACAGTGGCCAGTGATCATCTCCAGACTGCCACTGGTGGTGGTGCTGATTTCTGTCACCTTGCGCACTTTCCCTCCAGGGAACACATGGGAGACGTAACTGCCTGAGTCACAGCAAGGGCGAGCAGGGAGGAGACCCTTCCTATTCCTCACCCTCAACTGCAATAAAGAGGACATGAATCGGGGTACTTTCACATTACCTACATAAACTTGAAGGTTCCAGAATTAATTACTCAGGCTTTTGGGCTTTAAGGACTTGTAAAATAAAAACATGAATGTTCTAAAGGTTTTTCTTTAAATATTTTTGAATTAAAACACTCTGGATTCTAGGTATACCCTATATTTTTGGGAGGGGGGCACAAAAATATAAATAGGGAGTCCAGCCTGTTTTCCTTTTTACTCTTCTTGTACCTGTGGGCTACTATAGTTACCATCCCAGCCACTGTCATTCTGGTCCCCAGTCCTGGGTGGGGATGGGGGAGAAACCTGCAGAGGCCCTGGCAGCAGGTTCTGAGATGTCTGGGCACCCAGTAAGGTCTGGGGGCCCAGGCAGCTAGAGGATGGTCAAGAAGTGGATGGCGGCCCTGCAGGCTCTGGGCAAGCACCCTCACCACATGGAGCAGGAAGCTGCTGAGGGCAGGCTAGAGTAGGGCCCCAGGAAAAGGACCCTAGTTGTCCAGGTTAAAGGCAGCACTGCTGCATTCCATTCTGACGGAAATAAGCTGGGTCTTTAAGCCTCTTTAAAGGCACCAAATACCAAAAAGGCTGTTACGGTTTTCTGCACCTTCACATGTACAGTAGGTACTCTTGCATGGAGAGGTCGGATGTCTGCCACAGGACACCACTCAGGGTGCTGCCCCCATGAGTCAGCAGGAGGGGGCACAGGCAGCTCCTCTGAATGATAAATTGTCTGAAGAATTCAGCAAACCTAAGGCTTCAGGGCGGAGCATATTTCGGGAAGCTTATCAGTTGTTTCCTAAAAACTATCCTTTTAAAAAAATTTTATTTACCTTTATTTTTATTTATTAAACTAAAAACTATTTAAACTCATGTAATCTGAAGTCTTAAACAAGCCTACCAAAGTATGTAATAGGGCATACTCTCCTTCCAGAAGCAGGGCCTCAGGAATCTGCAGACGACATTTCAGCCCAGTGGGTGGAGTGGAATGTGAAGAGGGTGCAGGGACTTATTCATGGCACGTGAGTGATTTGGGTCATTGATGTGCTTGCTCCCAAGGGCGCAGTCTGCCCCACCAGCACGACTGTCACAGAGTTTGCACTTAGCAGAAGGGTTTTGAACAAGTCAAAATTTCTGTCCTGCTTTTTGTGCTTAGGTTGTTTCTTTATAAAGTCCCATCCCGTCTTGCTTTATGAAGTAGAACAAGCTCATACTAAGGAGAAATGTAAATGGTGCATTTTATTTCTTAAACTCTACCCATGCAGACTCTGGGTCCAAGGCGGGAAGCTTCCGCCCTCCTGCTGCTGCACCAAAACTGAGCCTTAAATTGTATCTGTCCTATGTGGGTTGACAGGGGAGGCTTTCGTAAGCTTGAGTGTACACAAGATTACATGCTTTGATTGTTGGCAGGACCAACTCCAGGTTGTGATATCAGCTATCTGTTTTCAGCCCTTCAAGGACTAAGGAAGTCTTCCTGGAACAACAGACCTGAGCAACATTACATGTTCCAGCAGGTTCCTGGTTCCATGCTGCCAGGGTGGTGGCACAGGTCATTTGGGGCCTTACAGAGAGGAAGCAGGAAGCCAGCTACACCTCTAAAAGGCTCCCTGGTCTTACCATCATGAAAGTGGCATGTAGAGGTACTCCCCACACACATGACAGGTAAAAAAAGAACTATGTCTGAGGCACGGTAGAGTCGTGGGTTTTTAATTTGATTGTTTTTAGATGGCTGAAGACACAAAAGCTTTAAGAATGTCAGCAGAAGACAGGTGCCCCAGGCCCTGCCTGGCCTGTCACCTGCTCCACTTTCAGAGCTTCAGAGATTTCCATGAAATTACACCTAGAAAGACTTAGTTCCCTTCTCTAAAAGATGCAAATGATCTGTCGGATGGATATGCTTAAGTAATTCCTCAGGACAGTAAGTAAATTGGTCAGAGCAAGAGAAGGCAAAATGAAACTAAGCGAGGGGAAAGGTACAAATTGTGTGCCTCAGTACGGAAATAAAATTCAAACAAGAATGCTGGAGCTCATTATGTGGACCTATGCTATACACCAGAGATACAAAGGCAAACCCATCTCTACTTCTAATAAATACCTAGTCAATATATGAGACACATCACCACAGCTAGTCCAGCTGCACTCCATACCCTGTCACATCGGATTCACTTTAACTCTCTGAATGTCTAAACTTGTGAGACTCTCTCCTCCTGTTCCAGGTGTAAGATAACTCAGCTCAGTTACCTAGAGTCGTGGCAACATCAAATATTAAGGCTGAGCGGATTTTCAAGCTCTTCTAATCTAAATCTGCCATGAGTGGTTGTGTGTCTTGCCGACACACACGCTGGCAGGTGGCAGTGCTGGAAGCAGAATTTGGGCTCTGCATTCCCAGGGAAGTGTCTACCAGCTTTCCCTAACTTCCTGATGACTTTTTAAGTCAAGAGGCATTTCTTGTTCTCCTATACAAGGAGGAAGAGGCTTATTTTGGAATGCTTTAAAGGGCTTGGTTAAAATGGAATGTTACATGCTGATATACAGCCTGGGCTTGGATCTCCTAGGTCAAAGGGACCACAGACTCAGGTCACTCACCACTAGAGGGCACTCAGATTTTCCCAGTTCATTTAAAAAGGCTTCCAAATACTGCCTGCAAATGAAGTCTATCAACATGATGACATTTTCTATCAGTAGTAAAAGGCAAACGGCCATTTTTCCAGACTATACTGACTCTGGGCATAGGTGTCTAAATGCATGTATGTATGCATATACATACACATGTTACAATTAACATATGTTTGGTATAGTTAAGGTTACTATTTTAGATTCAGCCTGGTACTTTCCCAAAGGACTCTTATTTATTGCTTCCAGGTGGTAAGCACATTTTTGAAGGAAAAATTAACTTAAATGTCAACTCACCTCCAGACTACTTACACAAAACCCAGTGGGCTCCTGCCCAAACCTGCAGGCCCACAGTGTTCTAAGCAAGTCATGCTTGTTGTTGGGATACTTTGGATACTTTGATTTAAAAGGGAGAAGAGAAGAAAAGGAGAGCATTCCTGCTTCAAAGGGAGATGAACAGAAACCAGGCGATTTCTTTAACCCTCTAGCTTACATTCCTCATGGCCTCACTCTGATCATGTGGAGAAGTCCTGGAGACTCACACCTGGAGCTAGGCAACCCATTCTTTCTGAGGACCAAGACTTCCTGCCTGCATTATTAAATTCTAAAAAAGGTCTATTTCATATACTGAAAAGAAGTTAAATTAACATATAACAGTTATTATTTATTACTACCATAGAATTGCCCTGTCTGAAAAGCATGAAAATCTTAAGAATGGTCTTTGTAAAGAAAGGTGGGGTGTTTCTGCAACGCACCTGACTCTCTAGCTGTCGGGTTTGAGTTGATGATTAGCGTCTGGAGTCTAGATTCTGCTAAGTTGTTTTCCCGCCCCATGGCACTTATGGCACTTACCTGATAAAGACCAGCTTGAGTTTTGCCAAGTACTGTGGAAAACCTGGCTCATAGCACTGAAAAAGGATACATCCAATTCACTCTGGAAGAGAGAAAAGGGTGCAAGGATGAGAAGGAGACGCTGGCACACCAGGCACTTAGCAGAGGTAGCGGCGGCTCTGTCCACACAAGCGGAAGTGGGTGGAAGAGGCTACTCTGTGCGCAGAAGCGTGAGAGTGGAAAGCCCTGAGTTTGGGGTTGTGATTTTAAAAACATGCTGCCGTCTGAAGGAATATACTGGCCAAAACAATTATCTTTAGAACATAGAGGGGATAAACTAACTCATCCTTTACAGATGATAGGTGATTTGTTTTGATAGGTTTATCAAAAACCTTAATAATGTGTATACCCTTTGAATCCATCGGTTTTACCCCTAGAAGTTTATCTTAAGGAAGTAATTAGATAACAGCACAATGATGTGTGATGGGATATTCAGGGTCATGTTTACAGTAGCAAATTATTGAAAACAAGGGGGACTAGTTAAAAAATTATAGCAGATACTCAAATGATGATATCAAGTAATGACATACTGCTCAAAAATAAAGCAAGTTATACAGTGGTAAATACAGCATTAGCCTGTGCATGTCTGCACACACGGAGGTCCATGCAGGCAGGCAGAAACAGACACACATGAAGCCCGAGAGGCATGCACCCGACAGTGTGCACCAGGAAGTGACGGGCTCACTGATCTCCCCCTTCCATTCGCTCAGAAGTATTTTTAACTTTGTTCCATGAACATAGACATTCATGTCATGCATAAGTCACAGAGGGAGAACAAAAAGTAGACAGTTAAATTCATCTTGGAAAGGACTTAAGGCCTGTTGTGCGCAGCACTGCCAGCACTTCCGCAGCAACAGCCCTCAGCTCCTGCGAAGCTGCTTCCTTTAACACTACCCAGGTTGGCTTTCTGTTTTGACACGTGATGCTGAGACGCTTCTTTCAGCCCAGACAGAAGCATGAGACAGATCTCCAAATGTTAAAATTTGGAAACTCTAAGATTAAAAACAGTCCCAGAAAGAATGTTTAAAACTCAGAAACCTAAAAATAAATTTTAGATGACAAGGCATTCTCCATGAGTGGGACAGTTTCTATTTTCTTTCCCATAGTACTCTTTTCCCTCCTTTTTCTCTTCTTTTTGTTTCTCCTGTCATCCTGAACTGGGTCTTCCAAGTCCTCTATAACCACCAGGTTTAAATTAAAGTCTAAACTTTACTTCTGTGGTTTATGTGGTCACTGACTCTCCCTAGAATTACAGCTGGAATTCAATAACATGCTATTTATGCTCAGTTACTGAATATGATAATAATAATTTTAAAAACCTTAGCAATGATAGTGCTTGCAGCCACTCTTTATTCTCCCAGGTTTAAAACATTGCCAATTTGGGAAATTACATTCTTCTTGATAGGTGTCCCCTTAAAGTGGTTAATCATGGCCAGCTCTGAGTCACAGACCCTGACTTGAAACCAGTCTGTGCTGAGGAGGGGAGGAGTGTCCAGAGGTGGGCAGGAGCGAGTTATGCTGCCCAATATAGTAACCACCAGCCTCATATGGCGACTTAAATTAGTTAAAATTAAATAAAAGTAAAGTTCCTCATTTACACTGATCACATTTTAAGTGTTCAAGAGGCACATATAGCTAGTGCCTACTACACTAGACAGCACAGGTGCAGAACATTTCTGGAACTACTGAAAAGCTCTCTTGGATACTGCTGGTCTGTCCAAGCAATCGATACAGAAATGGATTTTAAAGCCAACTTCAGCGCTCTGTCCCCTCAAAGCCTGTCTCTAAAATAGCCAACTTCCAGGTTTGGAGGGCACCAATCCCCTCCTAGTTAGAGGCACTATGGTGGCACAGAGGCCACCAGGCAGCTTCCCAGCTGCAACATCGGAATTAGGAAGCAGCTGACAGTAAGCCTCATGCATTAAGGCAGTGGCTCTCAGACAAACATGGATCAGAATCACCTGCACAGCTTATTAAAACAGATTGCTGCATCTCAACCCAGCATCTCTGAGTCAAAAGACTGGGGTGCATCCAGAATTTTTATTTCTTACCAGTTCCTAGCTGATGCTTATGCTGCTTGTTCAGGAACCACACACTGCGAACCTCTGCACTAAGGCAAAACAGACAGGCTAATGGATTGTTCCGTGAAGGAGTTTGCCAAATGTTACTTCCGGCATTTGGAGTTACACTGACAATAAAACTGCTTTTTTTTTTTTTTTTAAAGATTTTATTTATTTATTGTTACAGAAAGGGGAAGGGAGGGAGAAAGAGAGGGAGAGAAACACTCCCTCTTGTGAAAGATCATGTGAAAGAGAAACATCAGTTGGTTGCCTCTTGTACACACCCCAACCAGGGACTAAACATGCAACCTGGACATATGCCCTGACTGGGAATCGAACTGGCGAACTTTTGCTTTATGGGAAGACACCCAACCAAGCCACACCAGTCAGGGCAAGATATAACTCCTCAACATGGGTTTTGCCCTTAGCAGGCTTTAGTGCACTCAATGTTACTAACTATGGGTTCCACTCACTGTCTCAGAAAGAAGCAGGATGGAAACAAGGCCTTCCTGATCATTTTATTTAAAAGCAAAATGAAATAAACCAAACAACTTTTAAAAATCAGCTTGTGCTACTACTACTTCTCTAGAATGTCTAACCAAGGCAGAGGAAAGCCTATGGTAGCAGAATAAAATTGTTTCACTGATTCTTTTTATAAAGACTATTGATTTCAAACTAACTACAAAGCTAAAGTCAGCAAGAGAGTGTGGTACTGGCAGAAGGATAAACACACAGATCATTGGAACAGAACTGAAAGTCCAGAAATAAACTCTTATATTTATGGTCAATTGATTTTTGACAAAGGTGCCAAGATAATTAAGTGAGGGAAAAGAACAGTCTTTTCAACAAATGGTGTTGGGACAATTGGATATCCACATACAAAAGAATGAAGTTAGACCCTACTTCCCACCATATACAAAAATCACTCATAATGGATCAAAGACCCAAGTAGGAGCTAAAACTATAAAACTCGAAGAAGACAGGAGTGAACCTTAATGACCTCTGGTTGGGCAAGGCCTTTTTAGGCATGACACCAAAAACATAAGCAACAACAACAAAATTAATTAACTGAATTTCATCAAAATAAAAAGTTATTGTACTTCAAAGGACACCATCAAGAAAACAAAAAGAAAACCACTAAATGGGAGAAAATATTTCCAAATCATATCTGATAGAAGACTTGTATTCCGAATATAGAAAGAACTCCTACAACCGAACAATAAAAAGACAAATGCAATTGAAAAATGGGCAAAGGATTTGAACAGACATTTCTTCAAAAAAGATATACAGATGGCCAATAAACACATAAAAAGATCCTCAACATTTTATCCATTAGTGAAACACAAATGAAAATCTCAACTGATTGGCCTCTATGCCACTTGACCCACTAGGATGGCTATAATAAAAAAAAGACAGATAATAAGTTTTGGTGAGAATGTGGAGAAATGAAAACTTTCATACACTGTTGATGGAAATTTAAATCATTCAGCCACTTTGGAAAAGTTTGGCAGTTCATCAAAATGGTTTAAAATTTTTTTAAAAAATTTTTCAATTATAGTCATCATTAAATATTATATTAGTTTCAGGTGTACAGCATAGTGGTTAGACATTTCTATAACTTACAAAGTGATCACCCTGGTGAGCCCAGTACCCACCTGGCACCACACATAGTCACTACAATATTAGTGACTATTCCCCGTGCTGTACTTTATAGCCCCATGGCTATTTTGTAACAACTAATTTGCATTTCTTAACCCCTTCCCCCTTTTCATCCAGCTCCCTAACCCCCATCCCATCTGGCAACCATCAGTTTGTTCTTTGTATCTGTTAAGACTGTTTCTGTTTTGTTTGTACATTTGTTTTGTTTTTTAAATTCCACATATGAGTGAAATTTCTCTGTTTGACTTATTTCACTTAGCATAATACCCTCTAGGTCTACAGATATTGTTGCAAATGGTAAAATTTCATTCTTTTTTATGGCTAAGTAATATTTCATTATATATATGTACCACATCTTCTTTATCCAATCATCTACTGATGGACACTTAGGTTGCTTCCATATCTTTGCTACTGTAAAAATGCTGCAATAAACATAGGTATGCATATATCTTTTCGAATTGGTGTTTTGGATTTCTTCAGATAAATACCCAGAAGTGGGATTGCCGGGTCATATGGTAGTTCTATTTTTAACTTTCTGAGGAACCTTCACAGTGGCTGCACCAGTTCAAAATGTTAAACATGGAGTTGCCACGCCATCCAGCAATCCCTTTCCTAGGTACAATATGTACCCAAGAGAACTAGAAACATGATTCCACAAAAAAAATGTGCTCACAAATGTTCATAGCAGCATTATTTCTTAATACCCAAAAAGTAAAAATAGCCCAAATGCCTACCAATTGATGAATGGATAAACAAAATGTGGTATATCTGTACAATGAAATACTATTTGGCAATATAAAGGAAACAACTACTCATACATGCTATAACACTGATGAATCTTGAAAACATTATGCTAAGCAAAAACAGCCAGTCACAAAAGATCACCTATTGCACAACTTTATTTATACAAAATGTCTAGAACAGGTAGACTTACAGAGAAAGAAAGCAGATTAGTGCTTAGCGCCTGGAGCAGGTGGTGATGGATAACTGAGAGGGAAAAGCTAATGGCTGTGGTATTTCCTTTTGGGGTGATGACATATTCTAAAACTGATTGTGGTAACAGGCGCACCACTCTGGATACTAGAAACTCAACACTTAAGTGGGTGAACTGTATGGTATGTAAGTTATATTTCAATACACTTGCCTTTTATTTTATTTTTTTTAAAGGACTATTGGAAAGGAACTCATGCATTCCTTAAGAGGAGTAAAAGGAGTTGGTTTTGACCTTGAAAGCAAGGGTTTGGGTGTAAATGATTTAAATTAAAAAGAGTCCTAGTATTTTACAAGGGGAAGCAGAAGAAAGAAGAGCAGAGAGCAAGTTAGATAGCAAAATCTCTTAATTGAAAGAAAGACCTAATAGGCTCTTAGTGTTGCAGAAATGGTTCTTTACAAAGAATTAAGGCATGCATAGTTTTATAACACTGCATGAGCCAGAAGCAAAGGTAAAGAAAATCTGCCATCATTTGAATTTTAACTTTTACATATTAAAGTTCTGTATTAACACATGTTCTCGATAGAGACCCATTTATGGGAGACTGGCCTCAGGGCAAAGCCATTTTTTATTCATGAGACTTACCACTCGACTGAAGTACTCATCTAAAACTTCCACAAAGTTATGGATAAATTCATAAATCGCCATCTCATTCTGAAACAAAAAAGGAAGGATGCGGTCAGTTTTAGAATGGCCCATGTATAAACCAGACCTGAGCTGCCTGGTGAGCAACCAGACTCTAGAGCATGCGGCTTGACATGGAGACAATAATGGGAGCAAAGCAGCATCCCACAGACAAGTCTTCAGAATAGTTTTATGACTCACTTGTTTAACATAAGTTTATGAAGAGGAGAAAATCTTAACCTCTAAAAATTTTTAATGTGCATGATGAATCTAGCTGGACTGAAATTGGGCTGAGTCCAGTGTTCAGAACTCTGAGCTCTACTCCCTGACTTCATCAACAACTGGTTGAAGCACAATTTCTCAGGTTCTGCATGCCATCACTTTTCTATCTGTGAAGATGGGGAAACGACCTCAAAGTCTGCTTCACTGATAAAAAGCTGAGATTTCAAAGTATTTTAGATCTTTAACACCCTTTCATAGATTCCATGGCCATAGGTGCTGTTGATCTGGGACTGACATTTCTGAAAAGGTAAACTAAAATCTGAGGAGATGTAATTACAACACAATCGTAGGCAGTTTGCCTTGTTTCTGATATGTCAGCCCATGCTTAATTCCACAACTGAATGGCCACTATACTGGAGAAGCTGCCCCACGTGTCACACACGACAATGGCAGGGCACTAGTAATACTTGGGGCTAAGGAAGGCTTTCTGTGGTTTTGTACTTCTCCACAAGCTGCTTATCTAATCCAATAAATGTCCTAGGTATGTCTCTTCCACACAGCTTTCTGTAGCGTTGAAAGAAACCAAAATCCTTCAGCCCTGGCCAGGTAGCTCAGTTGGTTAGAGCATTGTTCCAACATACCAAGGTTGTGGATTCAATCCCTGGTTAGGGTATATATAAGAATCAACCAATGAATGCACAGATGGATGGATGGATGGAGCAACAAATTAATGTTTCTTTCTCTCAGATCATGTCAAATGAAAAATTTTAAAATTATTTTTTAATTTTAATTGTTGTTCAAGTACAGTTTTCTGCCTTTTACCCCCATCCTAGCCCACCCCCCTAAAACAAAATTTTTTAAAAATGGGAAAAAGATCAACATAAATCTTAAGGAGGCAAGTAGGGAAGTAAATGTCAATTTAAGAAGAAATAAAAATCAGACTGTTATGCCTAATTTTTTTGCATCTTCCATAGGCTCTTCTGTTTTCTTACCTCAGTGTCATTAACTCCAACCACAATGAAGAGAGCAGCATACTGCCGATATATCAGCTTAAAATCCTTATATTCAATGAAAGAGCACTGGACAAAACACAATTAGATATTAATTGCTATGGTTGACAGGGAATTCTTCAAAATGGCATACATAAATTTTAGGTTCTCACTTGAGTATCTGTCAAGACATTCCTAGAAATACCCAGCATTAAACTGTTACCCATCTTTGCTGGTGGCGCCTCTACACAATGTTCAGCCAGCTACTTGGAAGCACTTGTAGTGGGAGGCGAAAAGTCTGCGCATTCACGCAGGCTCCCGCCTATGCTGCTTCTCTTTCCTTTGCTTGGTTCTGTGTGGAACTCAGCAGGCAAAGCTACTAAATAATCAGCTATTTAAATGTCCTCCAACATGAAAATAAATCAAAACGACAAGATTTTCTTCTTTCCACCTCCCCTAGGCTGTTTTGGAAGCAGTTAGGGATTTAGTTTTGTCCTACTTAACAGTCACTGAAGAACCAAATATATGTGGCACACACACACACACACACACACACACACACACACACACAACAGAAACAAAAAACTCAATTTCTTTTTCCTAGACGCACAGAAAGAATCAATGTAGACTCTTTTATAAATTATTTAAAGATGGCTTTTGTGTGGCAATGCTAGACAAAATCTCTCATTGTAAACAGTGCTTCCTATGAATTAATAACTAGCTTATTACCACTCACTTGTGGATAAAACAGCTCCCTTCCCATTTATCTGTCTCCTACAGTCAGGGGACAAAGAGCAATGGGAAGGCACTGGGTGGACAGGAACTGAGGAGCAGACTGAAGGCAGAGCCTGCCCTTCCTCTGGCCTTTTGGGTGTGCCTGCCCAAATGTGCTTGAGCACCAGCTGCATGGCCTTTTGCACTGGACATGTTGCTCTCGGGTGCCCGGATACACCTGGGAATGAAGCTGCAAGTTCTGATCATGGAATTTCTCCCATGGGAAAGCCACCTGACAAACTATAAAATGGAGAGATATGAGGCTTTTATTTAAAATTAGGAGAAATGTAATAAGTACCAGACCATTCTGCAGCTTCTGGCTCACTGTAGAGCCAGTGTGACTTCTAGTCAGTCAGATCTTCCAAAGAACCACAACCTATTTGAACAAACTGAGGAACATTTTTGAAAACCTCTCAGGAGTTTCTGACATTAAAAAATACATATTAAAGCACCTTTGTGGATAAAATAAAAACTAAGCTGAGATTGGGCTACTCTGGTGCCTGATTATGCCAAAAGTCCAGTGGGTTTCTATTAAAATCTAAAATAATTTAGAATGCTTCAAAAATATCTAACAGTATATTCATTCCAAAGCACATATTTCAAAGGATAACATATCAGTGAAAAAGGTGTTTGAAATAATGGAGCTGAAGTTACAGGAAGATTCAAATGTGAATCTTCTGGAGCGTGTTTATCTTCAAGTCATGGCTATTTACACAGCCCTTTAATGGTTTCTGTTTCCTCTGACAACTACACGAGGCAGTCTGTGCAACAGCAAGCCAAAGTAGTAATTCAAAGAATACTCTTGAGATGTTCCGACTGGAAAATCAATTCAGAAGCCAAGGGAAACACAGTTCCAACGTGTTAACTTCTGAAACACTGATGTAGCTTAATATGTTATGACTTAGTGGTTCCCACAGGCAGCCTTTCTACATAGGTAGTGAAATTGAGAATTGGCAAAATGAATAGGTGTTTTAAACAAGCTTTCTGATTTTGCCTCAGTTTGTTCAGTGATTTCCAATGGGTTCAAAGTTTAGGACCCAGATTAGGTAATTCTTCAATTGAAGTTCTTTCTAAAAATAAACTCAGCTTTAAAAATTCCTATTTATTATTCTTTTAATGATTTAATTTAACCTCAATTTTGGCAGAATAGATGGATTTACTGTTACATTTTTTAACATCCATTTTTCCTATCTGCGTAATAAAATAAGACAGGTAGAAACCAAGCTTGTTTTTATTTTTTTTAAAAGATTTTATTTATTTATTTTTAGACAGGGAAGGGAGGGAGAAAGAGAGAGAGAGAGAAACATCAATGTGCTGAGGGCTGTAGCCTGCAACCCAGGCATGTGCCCTGACTGGGAATCGAACCTGCGATGCTTTGGTTCGCAGCCCACGCTCAATCCACTGAGCTACGCCAGCCAGGGATCCAAGTTTGTTTTTAAATCACTAGTTCCCGTATTCTGTGGGTGGTATGTTCACAGAAATGGTAGGCAGAAAGAACTGCACCCCACATGAGAACCACACTGCTATCCTCTGGCACAAAGTGGGTCTTTAGTGTTTGCCTCTGTACTGGTCACCTGACCTTCAGCTTTTGGCTTAAAGAAAGCCACCTGCTACAGGCAGTCCTAAGAGTTGCAAAGGCTGAATCCATAAAAACAAATAAAGAAGATATGTCTACTGGCAGGAACACATTTGAGTTGCCATTTTCACCATGCATTGAGACAAATATGCTGACCTAAATATGAAGCCAAGACTGTTCCTGGCTTTCTTTCTTTTTATTTTCCTTAAGGAGATGTAAGGAGATGTAAGAAGAGATATTCTTCCATTTTCATTTCACTTCACTTGCTATTTTCCCTAATAGCTATTGCAAGAATGAAGTTCAAAGAAAATCATGGTCCTTGACACACAGTAGTAACAGATTTGCCCCTGTTGAGTGCAGAGATAAGAGAGAGAATCAGAAACTTACTTGTTCATTGGCTCGAGAGAGACAGCTCTTTATAACCTCTGTTTCCAGAAGTATACGCTTATTGATCTCCACATGTTCATAGTACTTAGAGAGTCGGGTCTGCCCTTGTTTATTCACCATGAGGAAAAATTTTATCATTTTTTTTCCTGGCCAGTGTTTTTCCAAATGTTGGTCAAAAGTTATGGCAAGGGGTGGTTGTAACTAGAACCTGAAGGAGGAAAGAACAACAGAAGGGCAAGATCAAATTTCTCAAAGAATCATATTAAATGTGTTCTATAGATGAGCAAGAAGTAAATAAAGTGTCTTCTTTTATCATTGGTTTTCACTATGATGAACTAAATGAAGTTTTACTAAATAATTAAACATAAATGGTCATTAGTTATCTTCCAAAATATTTTTGAGTATCCACAGTACCTCTACTCATATCTGTTGCATTGATTCATCAACATTGTTGGACACCAAATATGTGCTAAGAACCAGAAGAATATGGAGATGAAGAAGTAATGATTTCTGATCTTCACAACTAGTAAAGGTGCTAGATATGTAAACGACAGCAATCCAAGGTGATGAGTTGTAACTGGTACACAGAAGGGAAGGACAAGGAACATGGCAGGAAAGTTGGGAATAGTTTCCCAAAGAAGGGATACTTAAAAAGTCCTTAAACAATGATCTAGAGGAAATGACACTGAGGCAGAGAAAACGGGGGTAAAGCTTCGGAAAGTCCACTGTAGTGCAGTTCAGAGCGCAGGAAGAATACCCACAGGAAATCGAGTTGCTCATACAAGGTGAAATTGGCTTTAGAAGTCATGCTCAGGAATACATTTATTTCATGGACAGTAGAGACAAGACCTATGTAGGGAAGCTTTTCCTTCCTGAGTGTTGGAAGCAGTGGTCATAATAGCAACTATCTGTCAAAGTCCTCTAACAAAACTGTGTAACAAGTCCTAAAAGGCCTTGTACTAAGCAATTTACATGTTATTTAACTTTCACAATTCTCTGAGGCAAGTACTTCTGTTACCCCCATTTAAAGCACAAGCACATTGAAGGTGAGGGATGTTAAGACACTTAGAGTCCCCAGCTTACTTTGTGTTAGAGGCAAGCTGCAGCTTAGAGGATGAGTGTGTGTGTGGGCCTGTGATGGCTCCGAGCTCATCCTCATCACTCAGGGGTCCATGCTCATGGTTTCATTTCCAAGTCAGCCGTACGGAATCTCATGTTTGTTCCTTTTATAGATTAACACAAATTTTTAAACACAGATTTTGAAATAATCAATTGCAATAAAGCACAATACTGACCGATGGCCAGTCCATCTTTCATCATGAGCATCCAAGCTACCTCAGTGGATCATCTGACAATATCATAGTCACATTTTGTAGTATGTGCGAAACCAGTGCAAAGCACCAGGGCTAACAATACCTCTTAAGTAAACTTTTAAAATTTAGAATAAGTTTACAAAAAAGTTGTAGCAGATTATGGGGGATAATACTTGGACTAAGTTTTATACCATTTTTTGCATTCCCAGCTCATCTCTTATTTCCTCAGCCCTACCAGACAGGTGGCTGTGGCACAACAATCCAAGGAGAAAGTGCCAGACCCAGTTGGGCAACGCCTGGGGTTGCTGTGTTCGTTCAGTGTGCAGAACAGGATGTTATCTAGACCAGCTCAGCAGGGATATGACAGCTGTGCCATGGGCGACACCTGTGGTCATTCACTCTCTTTTCCAGGAAAATAAACTCACTACCATAGGTGGGATTGCGACACACTCTATATTGTTAAATCATTTGGTATTATGCATTGCTGATTTTTAAAAAATATTGATTTGAGAGAGAGAGAGAGAGGAAGAAGAGAAAGAGAAACATCAGTTTGTTGTCCCACTTACTTATGCATTTATTGGTTGATTCTTGTATCAACCTGCCCTGACCAGGGATTGAACCCGCAACCTTGGTGTATCAGGTTGACACTCTAGCCAGCTGAGCAATCCAGCCATGGCCATGTGCTGTTTTTATTCTTTTCACAAATTATTGCCAGTAAATTAAGTCAAGTGACTAGTAAATTAAGATTACCATCCATTTTTTATTTCTTTTCAACAGTTATTTTAAAACTGTATTTATGAAAGTTGGAAAGCCCTGGCTGGCGTAGCTCAGTGGATTGAGCGCGGGCTGGGAACCAAAGTGTCCCAGGTTCGATTCCCAGCAAGGGTACATTCCTGGGTTGCAGGCCATAACCCCCAGCAACCACACATTGATCTCTCTCTCTCTCTCTCTCTCTCTCACTCTCTCTCTCTCTCTCTCTCTCCCACTCCCTCCCTTCCCTCCCTAAAAATAAATAAATAAAATATTAAAAAAAAAAAAAAAGAAAGTTGGAAATTATAATTCTATACCCTGGATTTCAACTGCCAGATAAAAGAAAAAAAATATTGTCTCAAAGGAATTCATGCCTAACCCTTTCCCTTTAAATGCCCTGGTTGCATTAAGTGGTAAAATAAGACGTAAAATGATCCCATTGAGATGTTACACCAAGGGATCAAATTGGTTTCTACCTTACAAGCAGGGCATTCCTTCCTACTGACTTCAAGAGTGAGGACAACAAACAAGGATGTGGTAAAATGATACTCATTTGGGTTCAATTCTTGAAAATAGGAGCTGAAGGCATCTAAAGACTTGAATACAACACTATTTTTGCATACTTACAAACAATTACACAATATGTAACTGTAGAATTATACAGTGGTGATAAAATACACAAAATTATAAATTATTTGTATTATAAAATATATGCCAAAATATACAATGCAGAAACTCAGAACAAGTATATATTTTAGAAGTGAAGATGAATGTTTAAAGCATTTATTTGGCTTACTAACCATCAGGGAGGAGGGAGATCAAGTAATTATGAAACTGAGGTAGGGCAATAAGGAATAAGTTCAGACAAGTGCTGGGAGTGGTGAGGGAGCAGGTATGAACTTCCTCTCCTTATAAACTCTCTGCATTCAACAACACACAAGGTTGGGAAAGACGTTTTGATAGTCAGGAAGTTAGATTCCACACCCAAGAGCCTGTGTGAATGTGCAAAGAAAAAGGAAACCTCACTGGGGAAAGTATTCATTACAGAAAGAGAGCAAGGCTACATAAAGAAAGGCCAAGACTGGGGAGTTAGGTAGACTCAGTAGTATGTGAACAAGTCAGTGCCCCAGGACCCTATGTGATACACACTTTATACCTAGAGAAAAGAGAGACTGGAAAGATGGAAGTACCTATGGCATTGGGAAGTTTTCAAATTTCTGATGATGTATTTTGGGATTTAGAACTGGAAGTCTTGCGCTGACCAATGTGGCTCGGTTGGTTGGGCGATATCCTGCAAAGCGAGAGGTTGCAGGTTTGATTCCTGGTGAGGGCACATGGCGGGGTTGCAGGTTCGGTTCCATTCCAGGTTGGGCACGAACGAGAGGCAACTGATCAATGTTTCTCTATCAAATCAGTTTCTCTCCCAAATCAGTTTCTCTCCCTCTCCCTCATTCAAAAAGCCCTGGCTGGTGTGGCTCATTGGATTGAGAACCGGCCTGCAGACTGAAAGGTCACTGGTTCCATTCCTGGTCAGGCACACACCTGGGTTGCTAGCCAGGCCTCCAGTTTGGGGGTGTAAGAGAGGCCACCAATCTATGTTTCCCTCGCACATGTGTCGCTCCTTCTTTTTCTCCCTCCTTTCCCCTCTCTCTAAAAAATAATATAAATAAATAAAATCTTAAAAAACCTTGCCTAGGGTAGAAACAAACAAATAAACAACCCCCCCCCCCAAAAAAACCCCAAAAAACTAGAAGTCTTTATACAATAGATTGTCGTATCCAAAGATGACAACCAGATTTCAGCTTGGGCGCCAACTGTGACTAACTGTACTCACTGCTTTGAGTACTGTGTTGGGAAGGATCTGGAGCTGTTGTCAGGTTCAGAAGAAAAGAATGCCATGGGTGATTAGTAATGTCAGTCATGGATTAGAAAGCTGGGTGTGGCAACACATGCACCTATCTGTCATCCCTCTCATGCACTCACTCCCTTCGTTCTGCCGAGGGGAAACTGACCCTCTGAGATGTGAAGTCCTGAATTCTGGTCTCCTGACTCATAATATAATGCTGTATTTAATTTGTCACACTGCCTCTTTGCCTCACTTGGTGTGCTAAGTGTTCTTAAATATTCATTTAGGCTTAATAAACATTAATGTCAGGTAGCTTTGGGAATGATCAAGTCAATGTTCTCTTTTCTAATGCCGTTACACAATTAATTTGGGAAATATCAAACAATTCTCTGCATGAAAATAGTATGAAGTTACTAGAAATGAAAATGGTATTCGATGATGGCTAACATCCCTTCTGGTTCTAAATGCTTTCTACATATCCCTAAATTGTACCTTTCTCTCTCTCTTTATCACTCTAAGGTAATATCATAGAAAAACATGTTGATTTGCTCCATATAAATGATTGAAATAAACCCCCCAAGTTAAAAAGCAAATTTCCACCAAGGAAATGTATAGTACTCATACAGTATAATAGTCAAAAGCTTGTATGGTGCTGCTGCTTACTGGTTTTGTGATCCTGCGCAAGTTACTTAATCTTTTTGGACTCAGTCTGACATACCATGGGAAAATAACAATTGTACCTGGTGGGTTGTGAGGGTTAGAGGAGTAAGTAATGTAGAGTCCTCAGAACCTGCTTGGCAGCTGGCACATAATGAGCGCCATATAGGTGTTGGCCAATGTCAGTATGACAGGACAGCACCTTTTCCTCAGTGAGGCCTTTCCTGCTTATGCCAACCCCTTCATTCTAACCACAAAAAGCTGGTCATCCTTTCTTTGAATTCATCACTGTATCTTATAAAACCTGCTACCCTATATCAGCAATTTTCAACTTGTGGGCTGTAGCAGGCACACTGATGAGTCACGAGGACTCTTAAAACATGCTGTACCTTATGATCTAGGCAGCAGCACTAATGTGTTTTCCATTAGACTGTTAAATAAAAATATGACAACAGCGAGCACAATAGCCATCCAGTGTGAATGAATCAAAATTATACCTATTGTTTTGCAGATTGGCAAAAAAAATATTTTTGGTGTAGTGCAGAATTTTAGTAATTAGTTTGTGTACCATGAGATGGAAAAGGTTGAAAATCACTGTGCTTGAGTGATTTTCATTTTTTTATTGTGATTGTAAGAGAGGTA